CCGGTCGATTTGCGAGACGCGGGTATTGATGGTGAACATTGACCTTGTTGGAAATGAAGACGAGGCAGTGAAGACGATGATAATGAGAAGAGGTGACGATAGAACCAGAAACTGAAGCAGAACATGGGGCTTGGGTCGTTTGACACTTGTGCAGGTGGGGTGCCGCAGACTCAGAGACGTCGGAGAATCCTCCTACAGCTAATAATTCGCTTCGGGGCTTCCCGCCAAGGCTTAGAGAAACCGCGAGCACACGGTTTCCGCCAATGAAATGTTTCAGATTGCGGAGACTGTGGCGGGCGTGCATATCATTAAAACCTATGCTCCCCGCGCATTCCGCGCCGCCCGGCGATTAATGGAAGCCCCAGAAGGCCCGTATCCGTCTGGGATTCCTCTCCCCTCTCTACTGAATACTTCTAATAGTGCCTTTTTTTGTTGCATCCGCTGGTTAGATCATCGGTACGAGGAGCCTCATGCTCCTTTCCAGACATGCTAGATGCAATGATTGCCTTCCCTTCCCGGCGAGTCCAGTCGAGTCAGCTCGCCGGTCGAAAACGACAGCTCGTCGTGAGACTTGATGAAATCAAAGACTGTTAGAAGAAGAAAAAAAACACCCCTCCGTTTTCTTCAATTGTGTCACTCTCGTTAGTACAGGAGATCCAGATCTATCTATCTGTGCACGCCGTTACTAACAGCCTCGTCCATTTGTTTCGGCTATTACAGGGCAACCACTGAGCCAGCCAGATTCGTGGAATTGTCGGTAACCGTCAGGGCCATTGCCACGGTTTGGCAGACCATGGCCATGTGCCAGATATGTCTCCACCGCATTGTCCATTCGGTGGGATACACAAAATGGGCAGACGGTGCTTTTGGTTGCCACGGAGCGACGTGGTAGCCTTCCATGTTTCCATTGTCAATGTACCACACGGTGGTGAAAAGGTATAGCGCGCCGATTGTGCTCGGTCCGACTTGCCGGCCCTTCTCCCATAAGGCATCGCGTAATTTATCTTGTCGAAGCCGAGAAATGATTTTCCTGGGTGTGGAAAACACCCATGCGCGACGTTGCTCTGCTGCTATGTGGTAGTGAAAGTCTTGTGGCAGCCATTGCTGTGCGTCATACTCCTTCCCTTTAGCACTCCGAAGTGAATCTTACAGAACTGTTCAGTGGCCTGTTTGAAGCCTTTGCGCCATGGACCGTCACGCGGGCCCGTTCAGCTTGCCCTAACGAAGAACAATCTCCCACACCGACATATTTTTGGCTTCTCAAGTCCCAGCGCGTTTGTCGATTCTCTGCTAATAGAGCCCGTCGTTGTCGAAAACAAGGGGTCTCGCAATGCAAAAGGCCGCAACAAGCTCGCGACCGAGGAGACTGTTTACACTTTCAACCTTAGCGCCAGTCGCTTGGTCCTTCATCTACGGTGTCGGTTAGCAGTACAACTATGGTGCGAGATCGTTGAGCTCCGCATCCTGGCCATCAAACGAGATGGTGCTGATTTGGGAGTGAATGGCCTTATATATCGCGTCTCTGCACCCGATAAGGGACCAGCTCTTCTTGTATGGAGGGACAAATGCAGCTAGAGCCTCGAGATTGGCCTCCAGCCTTTCATGCTCTACCGGCATCCGCCGTGTACGTCGAGTGCCGCCGACAACGACTGAGCTTACTCCCTGCGGCGCGAATGTGGACCCAGGAGAAATCAGGACGACCATGCAAGCGACAGAAACGACGCGATGGACCGTGCTGTCCTCCTCGGGGTCTATTCTGTCTTCATTCAGAGATTAATTCCATAGTTGAGCACTATTTGTTGCTACAACCGAGTGACTCAACGAGGCTGAGCTCGTGCTAGTCGCGCCTATATCGACATCCGTCGTCTCATTGAAAATGGCAGTCTCGTAACTCCTGGAAAGCGTGTCTATTCCGTTGAGAATCTCGATCGGCGGAGTCTGGAGCAGAGGGACTAGCAGCAAAAGGAAGAAGATGGCCGGAACGACTTTACTGTGATGATAAGAGCAAATCGTTAGGAAACATACTGGACGAAGGTCATCTCTCTTTCATATATATCGTGGTTTGTGTGGTTTGATTTCTCTCGGAGACATCGCATTGCCCTCACTCAATCATCGCCCATGGAGCAAATGTGAATGAACAGGTGCGTAACCGATTACCCCGTACATCTCCAAAGGTATATATGTGCATGATTCCAGCGCGATCACCATGAGCAGCTCCTGAGCAAAGGAGAGAAATGACGGAGGCGCAAATTAAAAGGGAAAGTGTGATGCCATCAATCCTAAGGGCAGGTTATGAGAATATGTTCGCAGGCTGGTCTAACTCTAGTTTCTTCAAGCCCAACATCAGAAGGTACGCCTTCTCAGCGTGGCTAGTGACCACAGTGTCTAGCGAGAGGGTGTGCCTCTGGATTTCCCATTTTGGGCAGTCCTTCCCATAGTCTGAGCATCAGATGATAGCAATTGCCCATGGGCATTGGGCCAGCAACAGCAGCCGTTTTGATTGATCATGCCACACTGGGTTCAAGGTGTGCGCCACAGCGTTGATACTTTGGCTGTTTGCCCTTTCCAATCCGGGTGACTCATGACACCACATCCTTGGACATGGCGGTGAATGTTGAAGAGATTGAATTTCCGCGGTGACGAGCAATAACTCCCATCTCCCCCCGAGTGTGTGTGATAGCACCTAATTCCTGATGCCTCAGCAAGATACGGCGAGGGAAGGCACCATTGGAGCTATTTCTTGAAAGGCGACACAGCGGCCGTGGGCAGGGCGTGATTACTCGAGATAAACTGGTGATTCAAATGCGTACTTCGTATGTAGAGGCTGAGATAGGAAAGGGGATGAGATACGGGGCTCTCGGAGCTGGTGGCGCGGTAATCGATCCACGGCCCCGTTCAAAGCGGTAGGTTTTACATGACTGGCGAGCAGGGCAGTTGGCCTTGCTTTGCGCGTGCAAATACATGGTGCATGCGATTTCGGGTTGACCAAGGAACAATGAGGACCTCCCTTTCCTGACTAGAGCGAGCCTTCCGCTTCAAACGTCAGCGGCTGTCAACGAGGCTCCAGGATCGATCCCACTGTGACGTCGCTCGATCGGTCTTTCTCTGGCGAAAGGGGTCAGCGATCGGCAACCCAGAAATGCATGGGTAGAGACGAGGGTTTGTGTGGCAAACATACAGCTAGAGCTCTACCTAATGGCAGTTGGTTAGCACTACTCCGGCCAAGGGAGAGCAAAGGGACCCTTGCGGGTGGTGATGTCACCCAATGTCAACAGGTCAAGATGGCACCAATGTCGCCCATGCTGCGGGGTCAGCCACGCAAGAGTTGGCCAGCATCCATGGCCTTGGGGCCAAACGTGCGCCGCCGATCAGAGATACCCCGGACGCCCAAAACCTTTGTCCTCGCGAATCGGCAGCCCCCCATGCGGTGCCCGCTCCCACTCTTTGTCCCGTTTGTCGAGGATGCTGTGGCTGGTGAGTCAACCGGCTCCGTCTCATCGGTCGATGATCTGCTTTCCTAGCGATTCATGGAAAGCAAAGGTTAGGCGGGTTGACCACGGGTACATTATTCCGACTCGCTGTTTGTCACGCTGATGGTCGATTGTTGAGACGTGAGCTGGTATAGGACCGTCGCAGGTGCAGTTAACCACCTACCTAGATAGTCTGAGAAAAGGGCCGCGCACTGTTTTTTCAACACTCTCAACGACCGAGCTCCTATCCGAAACACTCTTTGCAATAGTCGGTTACCTACCTAACCTGCTGGGCACATAGACACTCAATAGGTACCTATCTGGAAGCCGTCCGCACCTCTCCATGACGACATAATGGGCAGCATCCAGATAGTTTGGACTGGTTGTGGCTCACCCTCGACTTGTTTGGTCAATCTTATTGCGTCAGAGCGGTTGGCCGCGTCGGAATGGAGTAGGAATGTGGCACAGGAACTTGGAATTTCCATCGAATGGAGGAAAAGGAGCGCGAGGAGATTGACAAGGGCCTGCAGGGAAACCCAAGTCAGCATTGAAATGGCGATCGAGGCTGGTGGGAGACGGTGGCGGATGTGGTTCGAGGGCCATCCGACAAGGATTCACCTGGGACACTTCTAGTAGCTGATGGAGACACTGATGTCAGTGGCCCGGCGCATGGTACAGTTTGCATTGGGTGGCTTTCAGCTCGCTGGCCTTGTGAGAAGGAACCCAGGTTGACAGGCTTCTCCGATAATGTGTATGAACGAGCTGCTGCTCCTGGTTGTTTCGTAGACCGACACCAACTCTTCTTGTATGTATGGGTAGAACCATTCACGGCGCCACTTGTGCTGGCATCGTGAACATGGGATTTGATGAAATGCGCTCGGGCTGCTGCAGGGATTTAGCGTTTAGGGTCGTTAGTGGAGGCAGAGTGGAGAAGCGAGACGTCGCCCATTCGCAAGATTTTTGGATGGTGTGGCTTGACAAGTGGGAAGACCTCGAAGACTCGGTGGAGATGGAGGTGGTGATGATGGTAGTGGTAGTGGTGATGGTGATGGTCGAGGGCAACTGAGTTGAACTGCACCACCGCAGTTGAAGCAAGAAGCCGGTTTTTTATGAGAAAGTTCCCCACTTCACCTCATGTTGACAGGTCTCTGTTCAGGCACCGCGGACGACCAACTGTACAGCGTGAGAATGATGGCCGGTGACGTAGCAGATTCTCCAGCGTACTTGATGAGCTGTTCTCCTCCCTCGTCCGTCGCGTCGTTTCTGCTTTTTGAATCTTCATGTTTACCTAGCTCTTGTACTATTACCTCCCCATCATACATCTAATACCCAAAATCAAACAGAAGGTGTGCTAGCTGAACGGAACAGCAGTGCAGAATCAATGAAGGAAATAGTCTGAAACAGCTGATGACCAGTAACCGACTATCTTCCGCCTCATACGCCTACTACAGCTTCCCACCCACTCCAAGCAGGGAGTCACCACAGTCAAAAAGGTCGACCCCAGAGACAGTCAGAAGTTACAAAAGCACAATGCCCTCTCCTGCGGCAGGCAGATCCACAAATGTCCCCGAGACACCCACAAAGACCGGCAAGAGTCCTGCTTCATCATCTACTTCCAAGCTTACTGGTGAAGGCACACCCGGGCGGAAACCACCCAAGCTAGGCACATCGAGGGCCACGCCAAAGAAACCGACAGGCTCGGGGTCGCCAAGCCTTCCCTCTCAGCCAAAGCCTACCGAGGAGACCCTTAAGGCCGGGGAAGAAAAGCCCGAGGATGTCGAGGAGGAAGCCCAAGAAGCAATCAGCATGAAAGACACTGAAGAGCCTGGCGGCAAAGTTAGTCAACCCGGTGATGACACTGGTGCCGAAACTAGTGAGCTCTCCGAAGCCAACCCCGAGCCCATCCCTGAAAACGACGAGGAGGGAGAGGAGGGAGAAGGAGGAGGAGAAACAGTGCGTGGCGGCAGAGATGCTGCCAAAGATGAAGGCACTGAAGAAGGCGATGAAGGAGAAGAGGAGGAGGTCACGGAAGGAGGCGATGCTGCCGAAGAGGCCGAGGACGAAGCTGAAGGCAAAGGAAAGGGTGCCCTTGGCGGACTCGGAAAGGCTGTCAGTGGTGCTGGCAAGAAAGTTGCAGGCCGTGTTGGTGGTGCCAAAGACACTGCTAATGGCGCGGCCGGCAAGGTCTCACAAGGTGATGTGCAGGGCGCTGCAGAAGATACTACTGGCGGTGTCAAAGACGCAGCTGAAGAGACAGTGGAGGGGCCAGAGGAGACCGCTGGGGAGGCCGCCGAGGAAGCGCCGAAGGGTGCTGGCGACGTGCCTGATGTCAAAGAGACCACGAATGGAGTCAAAGGTCACGCCGAGAAGGTGGCAGACGACGTTCAGGAGACCGCAGAAGGTGCTACTGAGGGACTGCCTGTTGACCTGTCCGTCTTGAAGGGTCTCAAGGTCAGCGAGAACGGAGACATCAAGGACCAGGCCGGCAGTGTGATCGGTAGACTTGACGAGGGTGATCCAGCCGATCTCGAAGGTTATGAGATTGGCGATGATGGTGAAATCCTCGATGAAGACGGTGATGTCGTCGGTCGTGCAAGTGTCATCCCGGAAAAAGCTCAAGAGCTCGCCGGCCAGGTTACTGAGGAGGCCGATGTCGAAGGCAAAGTCAACGGCGTCCATGAAGCTGCAGAGGGTGCCGGGGAGCAAGCAGAGGAGGCTGTCAACGGTGTCAAGGACACCGTAGAAGAAGCTGTGGAGACATATCTTCCTGACCTAAACGTCCTCGACGGTTTGGAAGTCCAAGAGAATGGAGACCTTCTCGACAAAGAAGGCAACGTCCTCGGCCGAATCATCGAAGGCGATCCCGCAGACTTGGTTGGCATGACAGTGAATGCCGACGGTGAAGTTCTCGATGAGGATGGCGATGCGGTAGGCCGCGCGGAGACTCTTCCTCAGCCAGTCAAGCATGCCGTCGAAGAAGCTGCCGGCGAACTTCCTGGTCTGGAAGCACTTGAAGGTTTGGAGGTACAAGAAGATGGCGCGATCAAGGATCAATCTGGCAAGATCTTGGGCAAGATCACCGAAGGAGAACCGGCCGATTTAGTCGGAAGAACTCTGAATGCCGAGGGAGAAGTTCTGGACGAAGACGGAGATGTCATAGGCCGTGCAGAAATCGTTCCTGAAGCTGGCGAAGCCCTGCAAGAAAAGGTCAATGATGTCCACGAGGAAGCCAAACCAGAAGCTGTCCAAGAGGCCATTGGCAAAGTTGAAGAGCTGCAAGACCAATTGAAGCCCGACCTCACGATCGTGGAAGGCCGCAAGCTTAACAAGAAAGGCACTATCCTCGACGACGAGGGCGAAGTGTTGGCCCAGCTTGTGGAAGGCGATCTAAAGGCTTGCGCCGGCAAAGTGCCTAACGAGGATGGCGAGATTGTCGATAAAAATGGCAAGGTAATTGGTCGCGTCGAGGTCGTCCAGGGCGAGGCTGCTGAAGAAGCCATGAAAGAACTCCACCCCGAGCTAGTTGAAGAACTCCAAGAGGCACAGCAGGCTGCGGAAGAGGCTGAGAAGCAGGCAGAGGAAGCCGGCAAGGCCGCAGACGTTGCAGAAGGTGCTGCCGACACTGCCGAAGGAGCAGCAGGAGAAGCTCAAGAAGCGGCTGAAAAGGCCGCCAAGCCAGATTTCTCTCAACTCGAGGGTCTCAAGGTCAACAAGAAGGGCGAAGTCGTCAATGAGGATGGTGATCCCATCGCTAAACTATCCGAAGGATATGACCTTGATGCGGTCCGTGGCAAGAAGATCAATGAAAACGGAGAAATTCTAGACAAGGATAGGAACGTGATTGGAAAGGTTGAATTCATCCCTGAAGCTGTCGAAGAGGGTATTGTCGAGACGGTCGCAGAAGCCGCTGAAGGCGTTCCGGATACTTCTATCCTCGAAGGCCTCAAGGTCAACAAGAAGGGTCTGGTGCTCAACGAGGACGGTGACGAGATTGCGAAACTTGTCGAGGGTGACCTTGCCGCCGTTGCTGGCAAAAAGCTAAACGACAAAGGAGAGGTTTTGGACAAGAATGGTAATGTCATCGGCAAAGTTGAGATGATTGTTCAGGAAGCCGACGAGGCAGTCGAAGAGGCAGGCGACGAGATCGATGAGGGCTTACCTCCTCTATCCATACTCGAAGGCCTCAAGGTCAACAAGTCGGGCAAGATCATTGACAGCCACGGCAACATTGTTGGCCAACTGGTTGAGGGCGACGCCAAGAAAATCTGGAAGGCCGGTGTCACCTGCGATGACCAAGGACAATTCTGGGACAACAAAGGCCATGTTATTGGTCGTGCAAAGACTCTGCCTCAGGAGGATAAGGAGGAAGAAGCAGAGTTTGCAGGTCTTGAAGGCCTCGTTGTTGTGGCTGATGGTTGGGTCGAAGACGAGAACGGCAACAGAGTCGGCCGCATCGTTGAAGGTGACGCGAAGAAACTCGTCGGCCGTGCAGTTGACGAAGATGGTGACGTCATCGATAAACGAGGCAACGTTGTCGGCCACGCTGAGAGATATGAGGAACCTGAACCGGAGCCAGAGCCAGAAGAGAAAGTCGATCTCTCCGAATTGAAGGGCTTGGCATGTAACAAGCAAGGTAACGTCATTGGACCTGATGGCGTCCCCATCGGTCGCCTGGTTGAAGGAAACCCTAAAGAGCTTGCCGGCCGCAAGATCGACGAGAACGGCCAGATCTGGAATGATCAAGGTCAGGTCGTCGGACGCTGCGAACTCATTCCATTTAATGAGCGGGAGGCTAAACCTGAAGGACCCTTTGCCGGTCTTGAGGGTCTGATTGTTGTCAAAGATGGTTTCGTTGAGGATCACGAAGGCAACGTTGTCGGCAAGGTGGTTGAGGGAGATTGGAAGAAACTCCTTGGTCGTGGAGTTGACGAAGATGGTGATATTATTGACAAATACGGCAATGTCAAGGGTCATGTCGAGCCATATGAAGTTCCCGACGAAGAAGTCGTCGAGGAAGACCTCTCTAGCCTCGCTGGCAAGACTGTCAACAAGCAAGGCAAGATCGTGGACGAACATGGAACCATCTTTGGTGAAGTAGCAGAGGGTGATGTCAAGCGTCTTGTTGGATGCAAGGCGGACGGGAAAGGGCAAATCTGGTCCAACGACGGTAGAGTTATTGGCCGTGCAAGGCTGATTGCCGGCGGTGATGATGGTCGTGCTGAAGGGCCCTTTTCCAATTTCGAATCCACAACCATCGACAAAGACGGCTTGGTCAAGGACGCCAGCGGAGAGATCATTGGGCGCGTCACCGAAGGCGATATTAAGAAATTGGTGGGTCGCCACGTGGATGATGACGGTGATATTGTCGACAAGAACGGTAATGTCATTGGCCATGCTGAACGATGGGAACCAGAGAAGAAGGAACGAGAAGTCTCACCTATGTCCGGCCTACGCGTGAACAAGGAGGGTGAAGTTCGCGACCGCAACGGAGATGTTATTGGACGATTGACAGAAGGCAATTTGCTCGCTTGCATTGGCAAGGAGGTCAACGACAATGGCTATGTTGTGGATCAAGACGGCAACAAGATTGGAGAATGTACATTGCTTGAGAACATTCCAGAGCCCGAGGAAGTTGAGGAGGGACCGACGCCCGAGCAAATGAAAGAGGAAGAGGAGCGTGAAGTCGCCAAGAAGATCTCCAATATCATCAATCAGACACTGGAGAAGATGGAACCTATATGCAAGCAGATCACAGAGGTAAGCACAGCACGCTCATGGCTCTTGGCTCCAAGATGGTCCAAACTTTGCTAACTCTGGATGACAGCTTGTTGAAAGAGCGGACCGCACGCCCAAGGACGAATTGGACGAGGAAAAGCTCGTGCAAGATGTCAAGCCGCTTATTGAAGAAGGGTCTCGCATCCTAGGCGAATGCAATGGTGCAATCCGCGGCCTCGATCCCGACGGCCATATCGCCGCCAATGCGAAAGCAAAGGCAGCTAGCGGCGAGGCTTCGCCAGAAGAATATCGCGTCGCTGAAGGACTGAAGGAACTTACCACTCAGGTTGTCAAAACTATCGACAATGCCAAGAAGAGAATTGCGGACATGCCTCATGCGAAGAAGAAGCTGAATCCACTGTGGGCGCTGTTGACCGAGCCCTTGTTCCAGATCATTGCCGCCGTCGGTTTGTTGCTGAGTGGCGTGCTCGGGTTGGTGGGCAAGTTGCTTAATGGCTTAGGCTTGGGCGGCTTGGTGAGTGGTCTTCTTGGAGGTCTGGGCGTTGACAAGCTGCTGGGTGGTCTGGGTCTAGGAAGTCTGGCAGAAGCCATGGGGCTTGGTAGCGGTAAGAAGAAGAAATAGGCAAGCGATGTGATTTTGGGGGATTTGTAACATTACCTTTTTCTTGGATCTCTGGGCATGGGACATTAGCTCCTTGGGTTTTCGTCTCGTCTTGATGTTGTTGGGATGCGCCGGTTGGTTAATGACGAGTATCTTTAGTTTGATCCTGTAGCGATGAATGAAAAAGTCTCCAAATATGCCAACACGGCTTGAGACCCAAAAACAGGCCTTCTAACCTAGGTCGTTTGTGAGGACTGAGATCGCTGTCCTGAAGACTCACTCACTCGGCCAAATGGCAGCAATGGAAGATGTCTCTGACGCCGGAGACGGGCGGCGTCTCAGCCTCCACAGCGAGCTAGCTAGCACTTTGGTCCGACAGTGTCGTCGGCCATCTTATCATAAGAACATGCCGATGGACACCCTCACCTCCCCACTCCGCCATGTTGCACTGGACAAAAGTCCGCGGGCCGCCGTCGTCGACTTCCACGAACCCATGCCGGAGGTAGAAAGGGTAGCCCGGCGGCGTGGCAGCCAGGACGACGGGAACACCCAGCCTGTCTGCCCAGGGAAAGATCCAGCACAGAAGCTTGCTCGCGATGCCCCTGCGCAGGTGGGATGGTGAGAGTGTCGCAATGCCGCGCACCTCGAAGCAGTGCATCCCGCCGAACTGCGCCGACAGGGCGGCTTCGACGGCCTTGTCCCAGTGTTCGTGCAGTGCGCGGTGAGCGGAAGGCGGGAGATCGATTGGTGGCTCTGTCTTTGTCTTTGTCTTAGCTGAGGCAGGGTCTTCCTGCTCTGAGCTCTGTGCTGGCCTTGCATCATCGGCTCCGGGCTCGTTCGATGAGTGAGGGTGAGGGTGATATTGGAACTCTGCAAACGCGACAACACGGCCTGGAGAAGGACGCGCTTCCTCGTCGCTCTGAAGAGTCTGGTCCACGACCAACGGCTCGAGATCCAGATCCCGGACGACGAGGTGTTCCATACGCGATACATTCTGGCCCCGGCCGTCGGTGTCAAAACCAGTGATCCGGGGATAGGTGGCCAGCTCGCTGTTGAGCTCGAGTCGAACACACGACTCCAGCCACTTGCGGGCCTCGGCAGCAGGGACGGCGCCGTATCTGAGCTGGCCCAGTGGAGTCGTGGTCAGGTACGATTGTCTGATGCTGGCCAGATCTGACACAATGCCGTCTGCATCGTGCAGGGAGAGGGAGAGGGGGTCGGTCAGCTGCATTAATATTGGGTGGTGGGCTCTAATGAGAAGAGAAGAGAAGGATTCCGGAAGTGGTGATGTGCAGCCTGATGCCGTGCAGGGCAAGACAAGGCAAGGCTTCGGCCTCGGAAAATAGAATGAGGTAGGGACTCGTTCACTCCGGCCACGAGCCGACTGTTGTTCCCGCGTCAGAGCTGGCTGGTTGCTAATTATCTACGTATTTAGCTGAATATGGGGTATTCTCCTCCCCCTGGAAAGTGGTCTAGTCGCAGACCTCGGCATCACGCATCTTCGACTCGGCTGAAGGCTCTGGGCCATTCTGAGCTTGTCCGGGTGAGAAACTTCAATGTCTTTGTATCCAACAACTATGCGCAATTAATAGCCGAGCCACTGTGGGAATCTGCGATATAATACTTTGGTTACATATACATAATTACTCGAGCTCCGCTGTTCCATCCATTACAGTAGCAAGGTCCACTACATACTAATTGCTGACACCACCACCCGGGCCTCGGAAAGGACTTTAAAAACTACCTACTTGTACATATTACCTACATCTCTGGACCATCATTCTCATCTCTTGATCCTATCCCTTTTGCCCCCTCCATTCGTCGTCTTCGCTGTGTCTACGTCTATCTGTCTGGCAGAGTCACCCCCAAAGAAAAGCCAGCCCTAATAAAATGTCGATAACTACATCCGTCACCCAGCTGCTGGGCATCCAGCATCCCATCCTCCTGGCAGGCATGGGCCAGACGTCGGGCGCTCCTCTCGCGGCCGCCGTGTCAAATGCCGGTACGTATATACAATGCAAGATGGGATATATACTCTAGATATACCCGACTTCCCTCTTTTTCTTCCAATCCGCATGCTAAACCCGATGAGAGGCGGCCTCGGTGTGATCGGCGGAGTCGGATATACGCCAAAGATGCTACAGGAGATGATCGATGAACTGAAAGTGAGTGAGGAGAGAGCCACCTACCTGAATTCTGCCACTCCGATTTTCGCCTTTCAGACCCGGCGAGACGATGTCCGACGATGCCCAGCGGCACGAAGCTGGAGGCATAGAACGTAGCGAGGAACTGGCAGCGGCTGACTGTTGTGAAACTCTTCTTGAACACAGGCCGGCCTAAAGGACCCATCTCTTCCCTTTGGCGTCGATTTGTTGATTCCACAAGTCGGCGGCAATGCACGCAAGACTAACGTGAGTTTTCCTTTTGTTTGTTTTGACACCCGCTTCCCTCTTACTTCCAGGCTTCGCCCCTCCCGAGGGCACGACTGATCGACGCTCTTCTAATTTCCACGTGAATAGCTGGATTACACAAAAGGCACCCTCAACGAACTCGTCGACATCATCATCGCCGGCGGCGCTAAACTCTTCGTTTCCGCCGTGGGAGTCGCCCCTAAACACGTCGTGGATAAACTCCACAAAAAAGGCGTGCTGTATATGAACATGATCGGACACCCTAAGCATGTGCACAAAGCATGCCAAGCTGGTGCAGACATTATCTGTGCCCAGGGAGGAGAGGCTGGTGGACATACGGGCGATACGCCGACGAGGTGAGTTGAACCAAACATTGCGAGAGAGAGGCGATGCTTGTGGAAGATTGCCACCCCATGCATGCCAGTGTCAGAAACGACCAGCTAACGTTTGTATCTCTCCGCTGAAGTGTCTTGATCCCGGCCTGCGCGGACATCGTCAAGAACTACACCTCCCCCTTAACAGGCCAACCCGTCCAACTCGTAGCAGCAGGTGGCATCTACGACGGCCGCGGGATCGCAGCGGCACTGATGCTCGGCGCCTCAGCCGTCTGGGTCGGCACACGCTTCGTCACAGCGAAAGAGTCCGGCGCCCCAGAGGCTGCAAAGAGGGCCATTATTGCCGCCGACTTTGACAGCACGATCAAATCGACCATTTGGACCGGTCGCCCGCTGCGCGCCCTGGCCACGCCCTATGTGCGGAACTGGGAGACGAATAGGCGGGACGAGATCTTGGACCTGCAAAGTAAAGGGATCATCGCACTGCACCATGAAATGGAACGGCTGGAGAAGATCGGAGGCATCACCGAGGAGATTGAGGATCAATCCACGCTCAGGTATGTGTTTCTCGGGACCTTTTTATTGCTGCTCGTTGCAAGGGTTGTCGTACGACTTTATTCTTGCTGACATTTGTTTCCGCAAAAAGGCCCATGGGACAAGTCGCTGGACTCGTGAACACGCCAAATCAGACCGCAGCGGAGATCGTGGCGGAGATGATGGACGGTGCAGTCAAAGTGCTGAGCAGCGCTGGGGCGTATCTGAGGCCGAGCGCCAAACTCTGATCGAGGGTGTGCTGGAAGGGTTTGAGTCTTTTCGACGGGAGCAAAATAGTTTTCTAACCTCTCTGACATCGCCGTCATTTTCACTGCGTCTCCGAGACCGTCAGGACGAACCGCCCTGAGAAGCCGACGTAAAATGCTCCCGATTTACCATTGTATTCCTCGAAGGGGTAGCTCCCCGCCTTCATCCCAGAATTTGCCTTTCTCACGCACTTTCTCGGTCCTGGCGCAGTGAGGGTGAGGTCGAGTCCGAGTCGGGGACGAGCACACCGCGCATAAGAGAGGGAATGGGGCTCATTATATAGATCCGAGACGCATAAATGCTCTGCGGGGTCCGTGGCAAACACGGCTCTGTCAGCGTATGGAAGTAGTAAGGCGTATGTACCATCCTTGAAAAAAATTCAGACCTGACTACCTAGTACTGGGACAGCGCAAGTCTAATTCCTCCCCCAGACGCGTCTCAGGGTTAGGAAAAAGCCAGTGTTATCATGAAAACCCGCTTCTCGCCGTCTCCGGCCAAACCGGTCGTCGCTGTCGTCGGCGCCACGGGCGACCTGGGAACACGTCTGACCGGAACTTTCCTCTCGGACGAGTTGTGCACGAGGCTCTCCGGGTTCGTATTGATTGCTCGTCGACATACGCCCAGCACGCAAAGATGGGCGGAGAGAGGCGCCGAGATCCGAATCATCGAGGAGGACGCCTACGACGAAAATGACCTGGTCATGGCGCTGGACGGGATCGACGTCCTCATCAACGCGTGAGTACATACATGCATATATACACATTACATGCAACCGAAAGCACAGAAACAGCCGGCTGAAATCCTATCGTGCATGACCTCTTAGCATATCAATGGCAGGAGCCCAGCTTCGAGACAATATCGCCAGCACGTTGCCCAAGACGGCTGTCAAGCTGTATTTTCCGTCGGAATTCGGGGTCGACCACACGCTACACGACTTCGACGTCCCCGAGTGGGATGGGAAGAGGCAGCATTACAACCTGACCAAAAACATCGTCAAAGGCACCAACGTTCATGTCTGCAGGATATTTAGCGGACTCTTCCTCCACAGCGGAATCGGCCCTTGGTATGGCTTTCACACTTCCAAGGACGTGTATCAGGCTGTTGGCGGCTTGGACCAGGTGATTAGCTACACAGACATTGGCGACATTGCAAGAGTTCTGTGTATCCTGGCAGAGCGGACGATGCGCGGGGAGAAGGTGCCCGAAGAACTAAGGATTGCGGGAACGCACGCAAGTTTCCGGCAAATCGCCCAAATCATGACCGCCGCCGGTGCTGGGACAATCGACTTGAAGAGCGTGGAACTGGAGGGCTTCAAGAGGAGAGCTCTAGGTCGCCACTACGAGGATCGCGGTCCCATCGTCTGTCTAAGATTCATCATGGGAGACGGGAGGGCGGATTACAGGCCCAAAGACGAAGGCGGGCTGGGAAACGATAACCATGTCGTTAATCCGGGCCAGAAACATTTTGTCTGGAA